AGTGACGAGGGCGTTTGCTTTTACACCGATTCCTGTGAAGTCAAGATATGATCAGCAACTATATCTTCCCCTTTTTGACAAATGAAAAGTATCCAACTGTCTGCCAAGGCCCCTATACGAGTGCACAAACCAGCGTAGATGAGATTGCGAAAGAAAAAACCATAATGTGTGATAAGTGACAGAAAAGACCAAAACAGGCCACCCATAATTTCACAGTAGGTGGGCCACTAACAACCATCATTTGATGCAGTGTTGATATAACCCGATTCTTTTTGCATGCAGTGACAAATGCCCTCATTAAAGACTTAATTATTTCCCTCCCACCTCCCTTTGACTATTTCTCTGTCTCTCGCGGGCCTCGCTTTATTTTCCTCTCATTTCAATAAATCGGCCTGATAGCTTGAGTTGAAAGTGCCAGCTCCCGAGGCCTGCCGGTGCCCTCTGTGACTCTTAAGTGTCTGAAGAGGCCATGGAGCTGCGGCCAGCCGTGGCTAGGTGCCAGCTAAGCCGCAGATTATTGGCGCTATTGCTCGCTGTGCCCTGGCTGCCAGCGCTCTGATCTGCTGATATGGTCTAATTGTTCTCTTTAGCTCAGAGGTGATATACTATCTCTTCCCCTTTCTGAGTTTGCAGCAAACAGAGCTGCGCCACACAAGGCTGAGCAAATGCTGCTGAGAGTAGTAGACTGGAAATACTGATCGTCATGTTGTAGACTTATACACAACGAGATGAGCTATGAAAATCTATAGAGAGGACAGTTTGGTTTGGTAATAGTCACCATAACAAATTGTGTTTTTTGCAGAATATGATATGAATTGTCTTTATCATCAGGACATAATTTGGTAAAGATGCCAGCCTCTAAAGACAGAAAAAGTGTACTTATCAAAATGGGTATTTTAACATTTACTATGGAGGTGAACAACTGCCTATGTTATAGCCTACAAAGGGTGCTTTCTGCTCAAAAGTTAAATATGTAGTTAATACATGCCTATTGCCTAACCAATTCCTCAAACAATGAAAAGGCTATTCCGAAAATGCAAAGCCTCACCCAAAATGCCCTTATGGCAGAGAGGGGGTCTCCACTAAGAGTATACGCCAAGTCTATTTTATTAAACAAATTGCACCTTTCCTATTGCTACCTCTGAATTCATCAGGGCAACAAGTACAGAGACTGACACAAAGAAAGAAAAATAATACTGAGAAGGAGATGCATTACAAAGACAGCATGGTGAATGCAGCTTACACCAGGAGCAGCGACGGACAATGGCAGTTGATACAAAAATGACGTGGAGCGATAATTACCACTGCAGCCCGCGGAGCTTGGTTTAATGGAGGAAGATTACATTTGCAACCACTGCTCTTCAGGTCTTTCTGAGGACTGGCAGCTTATCAAGTATCCAGGGGACACCAAGTGAACACATGTTAAGAGCAAAAACAGTATTTTTGAAAGCCCGTAACCAAATGAAGTAAAGATAGATTTTTGACGTACGAAAACTTTGAGACCCTAAATGTTATCCTTGTGGAACCCCTTCCATTTAGTAAATACGTTGGCTTTTTTCTCTATTATAGAATACGCTTAAACAAATCTGATATTTGTGCCGTTAAGCCTCTTAACAGTCATATCTGAGGCGGTTGTGTGAATCCCAGTAACCGGGGCAATGCAAGGCAGTCAGGAAGCCACGATTCATCGAACTTCCTTTTTTTTTGCACCCAGAGATGAAAATCACAACACAGGCCCTTATCTGACTCGCTCACTGCCAAAACACACTTGAAGGCACATGGCCAGAGCGTATACATATACACACAAACACAGAGAGATAATAACCTGACTCCAAAACACAAGATTAAGTGTAACAACAGCAGCAGCTATAAGAGGAATCTGATAACAGTTATCTTATCTGAATTTTTACAACATTTGAGCAGCCATGTTGATGCATAACCAAGTGCAAAGATACCTTTCGGTAATGAGAAGATTGATTTTTTGAAAGATAGTGAAAGTCAAATTCAAAAACAAAAAAAGTGCTCACAATCTTTAACTCATTATACTTTTAATTAGGACATCATTATCAGTGGGCTATTGTATTTAAGGAATTAAAGTTAATATTGTCATGGGCTTGGTTTTAATGTTGCAACCTCATATAGTAGCATAGGAAAAGGTCAGCCTGGAGAATGATGCTACTGCTTGCTCATTTCCTTTTTGTTAAATTACGGAAGAACGTGGGAAGTCTTTTGGTGGGGCGTGCAGTTAAACCCAGTCTTTTAAAGTATTGCATCTTAAACCAAAAGTTTAATTTAGGTTTTATTCATAATTAAACATTTACACTTCCTTGTAAATGACAAAGAGGAAAAACAGCCGCCAATGTGTAGGAGTGAAAGATAAATTAATTTACAATGTAAGTCTGCTCGCTTTTTAGGCGTCTGGCCATGACTCAGCAGTCATAATGCCATCAGCACACTAATTATGCCAATTAGTAATGGAGGGAAAACAAACTGTCCCTTCCATCCGTTGACATGAGCATGAGGAATTTGCCACTTGATGACTTGTTTGGAGGCAGCAGGTGACGGGTGGTTTCCATTTGTATCGAGGAAACACATTCAAAGAAGAGCGCTGTGTACATGTTGGATCCTTTGCAACACCTGGATTGAGCTAGAGGCAGATGTTAGTGAACGAAACGCCTCGCGTGCAACCCCTCTCGAACTCTGGTGGGCGCTGGGTTTTTAGAGGCAGTATCACGGCCCATTAAAACAGTTACATGTGATTTAGGACAACGGATCCTTTTAAATAGCGACGGCCGAGACTAAAAGAAGCATAGGTTTTGGGACATTACAATAATATCTGACACTTTCTTTAGAAGAAACTTGCATTTATAAGCTATATTACAAGCCTTTTATACATTTTCTCCTGTCTGATTATTATGATGTTGTAAGGTGCTGGTCTGTTTGTAATAAAATCCAAATGGAGAGGTATCTGGCTGCTAGCCCTGAGCTGGGACTACCTCCCCCTTTGTCTTTGTCCCTCCAAGGAACACGCATGAGATAAAGGGAAAGGGGAGGAGGAGATTGATAGAGCGATAGATGGACACATAGAAGGACAGATAGAGAGAGTCATAGATGGATAAGAAACATTCAAACGAGAAGCGGGAGGAATAGAAATTCTCAGAGAGAG